TAACCCATGCTCGCGGAATGACTCTCCAGAGAAGATAAAGCAAAAAAACACCCCGAAGCACCTGGCACGCTCTCTGGACGAGTTCTCCGAAGCTGCTCGTTCCATGCCAGCAAAGCAACACCCTGCCGAATCAAGCTACTAATCGTTTCTTCGCGTCATTCGTTGCTGATACCATCCTACGGTGAAACAAGAAAAGCGCTGTGTAAAAACTGAACTCGTGACAGAAAATAGCCTTTGAGTTTTGGTGAGCGGTGCAGCTAGCTAGACGTCAGAACAGCCACTTTTGAGCGAGGCACCGCTTTCGTTAGGCTGCATTCATACTTTGCGGCAGCGTCCACACCAGCTTTCCGAGCGTCCGGCAGAGTCAGCGACTGGGAAAGTATAGACATCGCTCTAGCGTGTGCCAGCGTCTACCAGCGTCTAACGAGTTCTCTGGTGCACCTCAGGTCTAGAACGTGTTAGAGGAGGTTGCCATTAAAGCAGCGCACTTTTTGAACGTGCTGCGCCTGTGACGTTTGACTCAACTGCCAGATCTCTCACCCTCCTCTCGTCCAGCGAATTCTGTCCCGCAGTATCTTCGTCTTCGGTCGTTCCCACGCTCAGTCCGGGGATCGTATTTCTCGTTCTCCTTCGTCTGCCTCGCTTAGACTCAGGTTTTCGCCCCCGTGCACCTTTTCCCCACTTACTCTTTCTCTAACTTTCGCTTTCTCGTTCTCTTTCTTCTGCAAATTCCCGTCTTTCTCTCAGCTGCTTGTTTTCATTTTGCATTTTTTCTTGCATATTTTTTCTGATTTTTTTTATCTTTGTTCCTAAATCACTACATATCTAATTTAGGAAATTGGAAAAGGTTTGTACCTGGATTTATGTGCGTATGATCATTCGTGTCGTCCGAATACGATATTCACTTGCGATGGATTTGTTGCGACATTGAGAGGACTGAATTCGAATGTCGATATTAAAAATCGATCTACCACATTTTATACCTACATTGATCTATTGAGGTACTTTTGTGAGCTACTTTGTGATCTCACCTTTGAGCGCACTGGTTTTTCAATTCTCCTTCGGTTTCAAAAGAGGGCCCTGGTTTTTGCTACTTTTGAGTTATTTGTTTTTCTCTTTTCCATTTTCATTCCATTTTTCCATGTTCTCGTTTTTGCAGTTCACTACAACAGAGGAAAAAACAACTGAAAGATACATGGTATTTTGATTGTCAGTGTGAGAGATGCACGGATCCTTCGGACCATTTGTTAACCAGCATCCTTTGCCCGACTTGTCCGGTGAGTTCGATTTGCTGAAAATAAGCTTAAAGACACATTTCGCGATAGTTAGAATCCTTCCCTTGTACAAGTAGCCCCATGCACTTCACAGGTTGTTTCGCTTCCGCAGCTTCACTTTGTATGATGGAGGGGTGCAACAACAGCAATAAGGTCAAAGATGCGCCGCCCGTATAATTTGCCCCACCCACTTATGGACGAGATATGCCAGCAGTCCTGTATTTAGCATGCACCGATGGGACGCGTTGCGCTCATTCTGCACAAGACACGTCTTTGTCGTCTTGATCCTGTTCCTGCTTGTGTCCTTGTTCTCTTATCCTTTGTTTATGGTCTCTCGACCGCGCAGAATGCCTCGCTTCCCGGAACACTCGTCCATTCCCTAAGCCTTATTCGGAATTTATTTGTC